AGCCTCAGAACACCCCCGCCCTCCAAGATCCCCTGTGCCTCAGCCTGGGGGAGCCCCTCCCAACCCCAGAGGACCACCCCCGCCCCCAGTCCCCTCTGCTCCAGCCTAGGGGAGACACCCTCACCACCATAAGCCCCTTGTGCCTCACCCTAGGGGAGACCCATCCTCCACACTTCTTGTCTTGATCCAGGTAAGCAAAGCCCCCTCCCCCAGGATCTTCTGTGCCTCAGCTTGGGGAAATTCCAGACACCTTGGGTCTCCCAGGTCCCCTCTGCTTTGGTCTTGGGTTGTGAGACCCCTAGGTTTCCCTTTGCCCAAGCTTGGCACAGACTTCCTCCCCACCACCAGGCCCCTTCCCCTGGTGGAGACCCCTGGAGTCTTGTAAGGCTTCCTTTGCCTCAGCCTGGGGAAGCCAGACCCTGCCTCCCAAGCTCTGTCTCAGCCTGGGTGACCTGCCCTGGCCCCTGTGAGCACCTAGATCTCCTCAGTCCTCTTGACCTGGGAGGAGTGAGGACACCCCCCCTGGCCCCAAACCCAGCCTGAGCAAGATCTAGAACCCATTCCCTCCATCCTTTCTGGCTCCCCTTTGCTTTGGGCTGGATGAGTGAGGATTCCTCTTGACCCTTCCCCCTCAGCCCTGGAAACCATCTTCCTCCCCCTCCCTCCGCCAGCCCTCTGGCTCATCCTTGGTAAGCCGGGCCTGACCCCCCCTCCCCAACTCCTGGGGTCCCTCCAATGCTGGAGACTCCTCCAGAGCCTCTTCTGCCTCAGCCTGGGAGAGACCCCCTCCCCTCAAAATAACTGGGGTCCTCCCAGGCCAGGAACTGTGCCCCACCCCACACACACCCTGACACAACCCCAGGTCCCTTCTACCTGAGCCTGGGTCTCCTCTGCCTTGACCTGGGTGAGTGATGACTCCCTCCAATCTCCACGATCCCCTCAGAGGGGCCTCAGCCTGGTAGAATACAGCCCCCTTGGGGTCCGCTTCCCCACTGACCAGTGCGTATTGTGGCGGGTGGCAGATTCGATGGCATGGGAGTCTATCTTAATGGACACGCTGGAGGACAACATCCCACGAGCACGGGCTGGACACTGTGCTGTGGCCATCAACACACGCCTCTACATCTGGAGTGGGCGTGATGGTTACCGTAAGGCTTGGAACAACCAAGTCTGCTGCAAGGACCTCTGGTACCTCGAGACTGGTGAGTTTCAGTGTGTCGGGGAGGTTTGGGGGGTGCCTGGGGAGAGCCAGGGCTGGACCTGGGGGATGGGGGTATGTGCTGGGAAGGTGCGGGGGGGAACTGAGGCTGGTCGAGAGAGGTGCCTGGGTCTGTGGGGGCTGAGGCTTCATTGGGGGTGCTTGAGGTTAGGGGGAGCCAAGTCAGGGTTCATGGCGGGTGTTCTTGGGCTGGGGTGGAGGTGCTCTGTCAGTACCTGGGCTGTGCCAGGGGATCCTATGGCGGGGTACCTGGATTTGGGGGGAAATTGGGGCTGGGGGAATCTGGGCCTGGGTCTGCCTTGCTATGGGAGTGGGGGGTAAGGTCAGGAGGAGGAGACCCTGTAGATGGAGGAAGCAGGACTGGTTTGGGGTGGACATTAGTGGAGTCTAAGGAAGTCCGAACCTGTTGTTATCTCAAATGAGGGGGCCCTACATTGTGGGGTGGGGAGGAGTGGCACCTCAGGGCTTGGCACTTGGTTGGAGGTCCTGGACTCTGGATGTGGGGGCAAGTACTGGGGTCCAGGTGGCTCCAGCCTGGCCTGGCCCGTTTTGGGGCAGCCTGGCAGG